ATGAAAATTAAAAGTAATAATGCTCAACATATTTTAATTATCTTTTCCATTATTTATAAATATAAAAAGCTAAGCAGGTAATCCCATAATAATTAGAGCTGCCTTACCAGATAGAAGGTGATATATATTATAGATAAGGGCAGCTATTGAATGGCACAAACTCTTAAGGCATGAAGTTTAGTAACTCTAGCTCTATCTAATAGAGTCTCAAAGTAGTTGTAGTAATACCTTTAGGATGAAACATTTCAGTTCCACTGCAGCCTCCATATAAGAATGCAACGTCAAACAAAACCGACAAAAGTTGGCAGAGCAACAAATTCGTTCACTTTAAGTCATATTATATTAATTCCCAATAACCAAAACACATTCGAAAATGCGAATGAAATTTCAAATTAGTTTACAGCAGCCAGAGCACAAAATCTGAGAAAAACTCTTAAATACAATTTTCGGAACGAAGGAAAAAAAACCGCGAATTGGTTGTCATGCTGAGTGAAATCAACAGAGGCATAAATTCGCCGAAAAAGAATTATGAATGGCGTATTTTCATGACAAAATGTCACTACAGTTATACTGTAAATAGTAAATAATGGCAGAGAAGCGGGTTCGTGGAAAAGCCATAATAATAACTAATTTTCCAATGAAACGATGAATGAGACAAATGTATGTAAGTCAAGCTGAGTGAAAGACGGCGAGCAAATGTAAATTCAACTACTATTTGTATTGGGTATTTGAAATATTTCGATTGCTTTCTGCTGCTGACTGTCAGCGCCAGGATATTATCGTCCTGCTGCCCGCCTGGCTTGGCCTGGGCTGGGCTGGGCTAAGCGCTGACGTCCTGTCAGCGTCTTGGCGAAATGAATGCGAATGCCGAAGATGTTAATGATGGCAGGCCAATGGCTGCTGGCAGTGCAATAGCAAATTGCGATATTAACAACAATCTCAGCGATTCAGTGTGGAGAGCACGCAAGGGACTGAGAGAGAGAGAGAAAGAGAGAGAGGGAGAGAGGGAGCAGAAGCAGCAGAAGTTACTGTTGTTATTCTGTCAGCAAGTATTGAAAAATAAATGCAAATTGTAGCATGAAAAACGAATATGTATCAAATAATATAGGGGCGGAGAGAGAAAAGAGAGCAAGAGAGAGAGAGAGAGAGGGGGAGTAGAAGAGACAGAGAGAGAGAGAGAGAGAGAGAGTAGAAGGTACAAGTGATTTAAATTGTGCTCTGCTTTCGCCCAGCTGATAAGCAGATGTAAGCTGGCAATTACATATATTCATACGGCCAGCCACAGCCACACAAATAACCAACCGACCCACCCACCCACTCACACACACACACACACACAGTCAGCCACAGCTAATAACTAGCAGGTTAATACAAGCACAGGCCCAGGTTTATTTTGCTTGTATGCAAACGCGTGTCTCACATATCGCCGCATGGCGTATGCTGCATGCCACATGCCACATGCCACATGCAACTTGCTGTTGTTGTTGTTGTTGATTGTTTTGCAGTTGCAGAACAGTTTTTAAATGAAATTTACATAAAATTACGCCATTGCCTGCCTCATGCCTGGCGAACCAAACTAATTTATGTAGATTTTTCGCTGCATCGCAAACAAACACACACACACGCACACACTGAAACATGTACGTACATATGTGGCATACACTAAATTGTTTTCATCCCACATTAAGCGTCGGTCTGACCACACAACTAGCTAATAGAAGGTTTATTAAACTTTAATTAGTATTTACTTTTTTTTTCCACATTTATGTGGATCTAGTTATCAATTCTAATTTTAGTTATAGCATTACAATTGGCTTAAAGAGGTATATGAGGCTTATAGTTTCACTAATTGAAATATTTATTTTCAATTTTAGTTCGTTCCAGGCTTATAATATGTTATTTATTTTTTTAGTTATTATAAATTTGCAATTTTATCCATTTTAAATATGCAAATAATACATTGCAAACATATTTGTATTTTTACTATATATGAAATTGTTGTTTTTGTATATTTATTGAATGTATGCGAAATGCAAGAGCAAACTCTTCTCTCAGTTAACGTTTTCTCAGTTTTCGTTTGTTCCTTTGAAGTTGATGTTGGCATCGCTTTGACGGGATTGCCACTATATTTCTCACCTGTTTAAAGCTCACTCAGCCTCTGCCTCTTCTTCTGTCTATGCCTCTGCATTTGCCTGTGCCTCTGCCTCTGCCTCTGCCTCTACCTTTCAGTCTGCTTTTGCCTTTGCCATCGCCTTTACCTCTGCCTCCTCTTCTCTTACTTAATACTTCGCATAATTTATACCTCTATCACTGTCTCACTCACTCTCTCTCTCGCTCTCTCACTCGCTCTTATTTGCCGGCCTGCGTGTCTGTCGCTCCGTTGTGCTGTCAAAATGTTTTTGTTCTATTTGCCGTTGTCAATTTTTGTTGTTTTCTTTGGCTCGTGTGTGAGTGCATGAGTGTTTCGATACAAGTGTGCATGCGTGTGTGTGCATGCGTGTGTCTGCGTATGTGTGTGACATGCAAATAAATGAAAACCAAATAGTATCAAATAAAATAATATGAGTTAAGCTAAAAATAACAGAGAAAGCACAGTTTAGGTAGCTACTGAGCCCACCTGGCCAGCCTGACACACCTGGCCCAATCCGCCTGCCGCGCCGCCCATATGCGACAAGTTCACGCTTTCCTTTGGAGAATCGCTGCCGGAGGCTTCAGATTTTCTGTTATTATTTTAGTGAGTGTCTTTAAGTATGCAAAAAAATAGAAAGAGAAAGAAATGAAGAAACCAAAAAGAGAACAAGTTGTGTGGGCGGAGGCGGATGCAGTGCCATACTTAGCACAGGTCTATTGACACGTTTAGCAACGCCAACAAGAAGCCGTTAAGACAAAAGAATAAAGCAAGAGCAAAAAAAAAAGAAAGTGGAAAAATAGATGGAAAAAAAAGAAAAGGAACAAAACGCTGTACGCGTGACAGCCGCTGGAGCCAAAGGCGGACACGTGGGCAGGTAAGCAGGCTGGGGGTCTAGCGGGCTAGTGGAAACTGGCACAGTTCGAATCTTGGGCGATTCGTTTATCTTGAGGTGAAATACCTGGAAAATCCATACAAATTGCCATGCATCAATATGAGATGCGAGAAATTGCCATCAAATTATTGATGAGCGCCGCTTGGCGGGACACATTTTCGTATACCCTGCCAAGTGGCCATTCCGCAAAATGAGGTACCCCAGCATGGGTCGGGGCTAGACTGCTGTGGCTGCGTTGTTGATGCTGTGCGAGATTTTCAGCTTTCCTTGCAGTTAGTCAAGTCAACGCGGCTGCCATAAGCCTCAATCAGCTCGATAAGAGTATGTGAGCTGCGGCTTAGTGAAGTAAGCATGCTCTTCTCTGCTTCCTCTTCCTCTTTCTCTTTTGTTTTTTGCCAAGTTCTCTATCAGCTATCCGGGCAGCAAGAACAATGGAACGCTTGGGTGTGCCAAGTGTTAATCAGATGGGGCAGCTTGATTGATAGAATGTAAAGCAATTTGTGTATCGATATGGCAAGAATAATGCCATTGTAGCTGTTGTTGTTGTTCTTGTCTCCGTTGCTGTTGCTGTGCTGTTTGTTACGCCCACATTTTCCCTTACCAAGTGCCGCCTGCGAAACGTTTCGCACTTGTAATTGCATGATAAAGTGCTGCCAAGTGACGGTCGTGATTTGATGAACATGACCACACACTTGCAACATGTTGCAACACTAGCAGCACACCAAAGAGACAGAGAAAAACGGCCAGCCAGACAGAGAGGGGGGGCGAGGGAGTGAGGGAGAGGGAAGGAGTGTGCATAAAAAACGGGTTGCTCGTTAGAGAAACTCGTGTGAAGCTGCACCCATTTGGCCTTAAGCTAGAGCCAAGTGCTTTGCCCCTGCGCTTCGCCAACCCTTTAAGCTGTGACCATACACCACTCCGCACACACACACACACACACACCTACACACTCATCGAGCTTTTATTGTTTCCCATTTAAGCATCTCTTGAATGTTACGAGCGTTCCATAAAAAAGGAAAAACGGCGATAAAGCAGAAAGACCCAAGGAGATCCTCCGACAACATATGGCTGCCATATACCATTCGAAGTGCTTTAGTTGTTGCAATAGGTGTACTTAGGTGTGCGTGTGTGTGTGTGTCTGTGTGCCTGTTGGGCTGGGCATAAATTGAGGCGTCGTTTAACAGCACTGCACGTTGGCTTTTTTTTAATAGCCCATACATATTCATATGCATGCATGTATGTATGTATGCATGTGTTGGTGCATCCACATGCCCGGCTGTTTGTCTCCGTGTGGCTATATTGCCGGCAGCCTTATTAGCCCATTTGCCAAGCAGCTAATTTAAAAGTCAGTCTTAGCTCTAGAGCTAAAGCCAAAGCCAAAGCCGAGTGAAGCCAAAACTTTTCTGAAGACTGAGCAAACAAGAAGAGAACTTAAATTTTAATAACTTTCAGCTTTGAGTGCCAAAGAGAAAGATTTGGCAATCAAGCAAAAACTTTATAATCATATTGCTGCAATAATATTCAACACTGTTTATTGTAATGCAATAAAGAGCTCATCTTCAAAAACTTTTGGACGATGATACTACATAGCCGAATCTGATAATCTCAGGCCAGGCTATAGCTAAATGTAAAATCACTCACAATTTATGACACCCACAGCCTATGGGGCACTTATCAGCAGCCGGACGGACGGAGTGAGCTGATAACAGCGAAGAGCTGGCAAACAAACAAGCCCTCCGGCCGGATCGGCGCAGTGAACCTGAACCGCGGAGCAGCTGTTGTGAGGTGGCCTGTTTCGCAGCGCAGAGCAGTGAGCGAGCGACACGTCAGGCCAAGCAGCAGAGCGAGAGCGGGAGAGAGTGAGAGCGAGCAGCAGAGCGAATGATAAGCGGTCAGCCTCACTGCCTCGCTCTCGCTCTCTCTTTCTCTCGCGCTCTCTGTATAAATAGGTCGCGCGGCCTAAGCATCGACTCATTCACTCAGTTGTCTAGCATGGATCGGTGGCAGAATCGTGTTGCGGTCATAACGGGCGCCAGCTCGGGCATTGGCGCTGCCTGCGCCAAGGTCTTGGTGGCCGCCGGCCTGCAGGTCGTTGGCCTGGCACGTCGCACCGAGCGACTGGAGCAGCTGCGTCAATCACTGCCCAAGGATCAGCAGGCACGCTTCCATCAGCGCACCTGCGACGTCTCGGCGGAGGCGCAGGTGAACAGCGCCTTCGAGTGGATCGAACAGCAGCTGGGCGGCATCGATGTGCTGATCAACAATGCGGGCATCCTGCGCGACGGCCATCTGCTGGACATGCCCACCAAGGACATCACCGATGTGCTCCAGACCAACCTAATGGGCAGCATCTACTGCACCAAGCTGGCCGCCAGCAGCATGCGTCGCCGCCAAGTGGCCGGCCATCTGTTCTTCATCAACAGCACCGCCGGCCTGGCTGGCTACAATCCCGGCCACATCGATCCCAGCCTCAACATCTATACGCCCAGCAAGTTCGCCTTGACCGCTGTGCACGAGATTTGCCGCCAGGAGCTGATCACACAGAAGTTGAAAATTAAGACAACGGTAAGTCAAAGGGGATGGGATTGATGAAGTGGCGCTAGACTAGGGCTTGATGCTTGGTAGAACTGTTGAAGTTGAAGTATTTGAATTTTTAGTATCAGTTTGAAAAAGCATTCAACTGTTATTTGAGGAAAGTATTTACAGTTCTTCAGAACACTTACTTTGCCTGATGAAGTCATAAATTAAATGAGTTGGGCTTAAAATTAAGTCTAAATAGAGAATTTTGATTTCGAGATTTAAAATTTTCCAACAATTGATAGTAGAATTTATGCGCAGTCATGGAGTAAGTAGAAAGTTTTTAGCTTGAAAAAGTGTCTGAAAAAACTCTAACAAAAACTTTTATAGAAAATATTTACTTTCTGAGAAATTCTTCCGTTTTTGCCGAATAGCATTGATTTATTATTAATATTTTTGTTTATTTATACAATTTTTTCAAGTATTTCTCATTGTCTCTTTATGAATTGAGCTTACTATTTTTATGAAGCACTACAATACAACTCTTTAAAGTCGTAAAGAATATATATGTATATGACTATGTACATGTAAATGATCTCTAACGGAATTTAGTGTAATTTATTCGTTATTATCTTCTTTACACTCAATGTCAAATGAAAATTGCTACCCTTCTAAAATACATACATACATTCTGTTCATAATTATAGTAGTAGATAAGTAAATAGTAGTACGTAGATAGTAGGTAATTCATGAAAATAGTAGTATTTTCATGAACATCACTCTATTTGAGGAGCTTCAAGACATTTTCTTTAATGAGTAGCATACTTACTGAAGTTGTTAAACTACTCAAAGAAAGTGTACGAAAAGCTAACTAGCTTTTCGTATCTCCCTACAGCAAATAAGTAGTATAAATCATAATAGCACTTAGTCAGCACATAATACGTAGCCATGCAGGCATAGGCAAGAGGCAAATTAACTAACAGACAGTTGGTATTACTACGTATAGATATTAGATTTCTGAATTGCCGAAAATGACGGAGCAATTAGAGCGCCAAATAATCTCCCTGAACTCCCCAAAGCCAAAGAGAGAACAACAAAATAAATATTTCTTAAACACTTGCAGAGCATTTTCCCCGGCTGGGTGTCCACGGAGATAGTGCCAGACGAGACTAAGGCCCAGCTGGGCGATGTCATTCTGCAGGCCGACGATGTGGCTCAGGCGGTGCTCTATGCGCTCTCAACTCCGCCGCATACTCAGGTGCAGGAGATAACGCTGCGTGCGGTTGGCGAATGGTACTGATAGCGCTTATCAGCTGATATCAAGTGTGCACGTGCTCGAAGTTCTTGTTGTTGTTGGTGTTGCTTAGGCTATGTAATCAACACCTAATAACAATCAAATGAACTTGACAACTCAATGCACAAACACACACACACACACACACACACACAGACATACACATAAATAAATACACACACACACACACAGCTTGTTTGTTTGTTTGTGTGCCTTGGGCTTGAATTGTTTGCGCAGCAGGCGGAGAGGGAGGGGGGTGCTGTCGATGGGCGGGGCACATTTCGTTTTTATTGTAATTGTTATGATTATTGTTGCTGATGTTATTATTGCCCGTTAGAGTTTAACAACAACAGCGTCAAATAAATAATTCAGTTTCATACATTAATAACGGACTGTAGAACTGTTATTGCAACCACAGAGCCACTCAACTGTGGCCCAAACACCGACACCAAGCACCTTGCACCACGCACCACTCACCACGCCCCACGCACCTTGCGGTTAGTCATTTTTAATACGCGGCCAATCGATACTTCAATTAGCCTGGCCAAGAGCTATAATATTGACTTGTTAGCAGCACATGTTAAATATTCAGAAAGGCTCTCCTTGAATAATTGATACCCTGCACCCAACCCACCCAGCGCGTGTCCTTCGGCTAACTGGCAAACTAGCACTTTAACGAATTCATTAGAACATTCCCGTTCGCTCTGTGGGTAAACTTCAAGTTTTTTGTCTAATATTTGGCAGAGTAATAATACAGCAAAGAAACTGTCAACACAGCCCTAATGAACAAAGAGCCAAGCTGAGTAGTTTGCTAAGGTCTTAGCTCATGCTCCTACTCCAACTTAATGGGCAGTGCTTACCTATGGCAAAACTAGCTGATTGAGGGTGAGAGTTTCATTTAAACTGTATATATTTTGTTTGTGATTTATTTCTCAGTACTTCTTGCCCACTGCGTATACTTAATTGTTGTTAAATTGTTGATTGAAGGTGAATGGAGCACGTAATAATGTAAAGCGGGGCAAAAGTAAAGAATCAGCTACTCTGATATCCTCAGGTAAGTATTCTCTGTCAATTGAATCAAGATTCTATGCATTGCCAGCTGTGCTTCAATAAGTTAATTAACTAATCTATGGCTGCTGCTGCTGTCTAATGCCTTTAATTCCAATTCAATAGAGCTGATTAAGAGAGTCGAAAGGCGCTTACAAACAACTCAGTCGATTTCGAGCCACATGAGCTTCCTAACGGCAGATCTCAACACGATTTGCTACTCAGTCAGCCTTGAGCGCTGTGAAAAAAACAACACACACACACACACGCGCGTTAAAAATGTTGTTTAATTAACGAAATTGCAACATTAGCGGCACAAAGTTTAGATCTTAACTCTGCATTCCCATCTGCCACTCCGATTCCAGTGCACACGTTTTGCCAAAGGTTTATTTTGCGTGTAAAGCGCTGTCGGACAATCCAGCGCAACTCGCTGTTGCTTTTTACCCCATGTTTTCTTTATTTTCCTATTTTTTTTCGCGTGTTTTCTTTTCCCCTCTTTGCCAGCTTCTGCTCGGTTGCCATACAAATTCTTTGGCTACAGCGGAAAACGCAAACTTTTTTCAAACCTTTTAATGACAGCGCATAGCAATCCTTTTTTTTTGTGCGCTGCTACACCCACATGAGCAGCCCTTGCGTGCGTGTGTGTGTGTGTGTGTGTGTGTGTGTGTGTGTACGTGGGTGATGTGTTCAGGCAGTGTGCCTACAACTTGGCAGCTGCGTTGTTTTAAGCCCCATGAGGCAGCTGTTTGTCTGCCCGACCGCTCGCTCGGCGGGCCCCAGCTCCTGCCTCACGCTTCCTGCTGGCGCTGCTGCTGTCTATGCGCTTGTCAGGCACCCAGTTAGACAAGTTTTGTCAGCCGCAGCTTTGCACTTCACTTCACTTATTTCCGGCATTTTGTTTTAATTAAATTTATGACAAATGTCATATAGGACAAACTTTTGGCAACAACAACAACAACAGCAACGCAGCCCACCACCAACAGAAAACAACAACAACAACAAAAAATTGCATTCAACACATTGGAGCTGAGCATGAAGGCAGCAGCTTTAAGCAAATATTGAACACTCACACACACACACACACACACACACACTCACACACATATGCAGCTCATAAGTCATCTCTAAGTTTTGAGCACCGCCCAACTTCAAATTAATATTCAGGCTTAAAGACTTTAGTCTAGTTTTCTACTACTACAAGTTTTGGGATACTTTTAAAATATACGAGAAACAAATGAAAGAGGCCAAAGTTTTCATTTAATTTCAGATTAATTACTGCAGCTTAAATCTAGATATCATAGCTTTCATTCGTTCAGAATTTTTGATATTATTTATGCCATGAATATTTTATTTTTCCACAACGAAATCGGGAACTCGAGACAAAAGTTTCTTTCACAAGTCTCGGCGTTAGCCAATTAGGATTTATTACAACACTTCTAGGCAATAAATTAGAAATTATGTGAATTAAGCATTTGGGTAACACATGGCCTAATGTAGCCTGTGCAGCGCTTGGCTTTTGGAAACTCATTTGGTAAAAATAAAACTGGCTGCGCATATACGGAATATATGTATTTAAATAATAAATACTTCTTTGAGTTTGTGGGGTTTAAGAATTAGAAAGAAATAAATATAATAAAAGCAAAAACGAATGTCGGGCCTTACCGACTGCAAAATACTCAGTCACGGCACAAATATTGCTTGATATATTTTCAGATAAGCCACGCCCCAAATGGGGGTAAATCTCAATGGTTTACATTCATAAGATTATACAAAATCCATATACTCTATTCACTCTCGTGAATGAGTATAATTTGTGTTTAATTTGCTTTAATATGCATGCAAATTTTCCTAAAATTTTTACCCCATTTATGAGTTCAAAAGTAAAAGCAGAAATATCTGGATAAATCATACGCAATTCCTATATAGAAACTCATCTATATGCATTGGGATAGCAGAAGACATTGTGTTTAGCATCATATATGTCAGATGCAACGTTGTTCTCTACGTTTACTTTAGTTAGGCACTGGCCTAGCTATGCGGTGACCTTTGTCCAGGGCATTGTTTGGCTTATGGCCCCTATGCATGTGGTCGAGCGTTGTCTGCAGCCTCGGGCTGCACACAAAATCCAGTGGATAATTTTGTATAGTTTGTGCACCAAAATTTCTATGGCTGTGGGAGGGTGGCTGTGCGGGTGTGTTGGGGTGTGTGATTTGTTGGTTCGCTTTAGGCCTGGACAAAGGCATTTTTAAGCAATTTAGGCGGCCGTTCGAGCTGACCTGCTGCTGGTCCCTGTTGTAGTTGTAGTTGTAGTTGTTGTTGTAGTTATTCACTTATATTTAGTGCTCCTGGTATCGACATCTAGCTACCGAATGACAACAGAGCATACACGCAAGAGCACCCACACACACACACACAAATGCACAAACATATATGGCATAAAATGTGCTTTGATAGAGCGGCCAATCGAAAGGGAACAGCGCCCATGCACTTGATGGCAATGCAAACAGTATTAAAAAAAAAAAAAAAAAAAATTAAAAAAAAAAAATTAAAAAAAATAAATTAAAAAAAATACTTAAATAAATAATAAAAGGAAAATGAAAAGTATATAAAAAAAATAGAAGATTTTTAAAACACACAAGCCGACTTTAAAGTTGCCCTAACAAAACTTCGATTTACTCAATTTAAAGTTCGCTTTGAAAACAGAAGCTCGCACAACTGAAAGCTCGATTCAATTATATCCTTGGAGCACTTGCCAAATGGCATTAGCTGCCGCCTGATTGCCCCGAGCTGAATAATGTTTGACTTGAGCACTTAGATGTTATCTAGGAATGGTCTCTGGAGCATCTTTCTGCTGGTTATCAGCCACTGAGATGCAGCAGGGTATGCAATTGCTTTGTATGCTCAGCAAAAAAAAAAAAAAAAAATTTGTTTACCAACTTAATATGCTTTTAGCACACTACATGCCAGCAGGAGTGGGAGCAGGAGCAGCAGCAGCAGCAGCAGCAGCGGAAGCAACCAGCCTCGCTGGGCTCTGTGGTTGGCCTGAAGCAGATATATGTATGTATGTATATGTGCATAGGCACTTTCCATAGGGGCTTTGCTTTAGCAATGAGCACTTGACTGATTAGATATGGGAATTTTTGAGTGCGCTACTTTTGACTTGAGTCGCAGCGTCTTTGGCAACATTTGGCTCCAGGGACTCGGTAGTTGGCAGAAAATTTGCTAAAATATATAAAATATATAACTTGCGATATGAAATACATGTATTTGACCACAGAGCGGCACTGGAATGTCAATTTCATCTAATTGCCCAATTACCAGAGGCCTTACAAATTCCTAAGATTTTCGCCGAATTTAATGTGCTGCAAATTATGTCGGCCCATTTCGAATAATCTAAAGCGGCAAGAGTGGCCTAGTTACGCTGCCTCTATATTTATCTCTAGCCTAAAATAATAATATATTAAAGGATAAACACCTCTCACACACTTTTCGTGCGCTTCAAAGGGATTTGTGTTTTGGATCCACTTGCAAAGGGTCACATCATCATCGCTCAGAGTTTTGCGAAGCATTTTGCACTTTCTATTCAGCTTATTAATAGACTAATTAAGTGGCAGCCAGACTCATAATGAGCTAATATATATACATACACACTTAGCTACTTTACTAATTGCTCGTTCATTAAAATTTTGTAACTTCAAATGGCATAAAGTCTACGTATGTATGTGTGTGTGTGTATAACCTGCTATAAGCTATGAGTGATTCAAGTGGGCTGAGCGCTGAGCGCTGGCTGCTATTTGGTCAGAGTTTCAACTGCAACTGCTCGATTGTAAAGGAATTTCATTTCGAAAAGCAAACAAAGTGAGAGGGAGGGAGAGAGAGAGAGAGAGGGAGAGAGAGAAGCTGCAGACTTGCCTGCTGTCAACGTGCTCAAATATTATGAAATACAATCAAATTGGAGACAAATATGCATGCAGCGCACACATGAGCATCGCTAGAGATGGAATTTCGTTGGGAAAACATTTGACGAATTGTCCGACATTGTCGACAAAGTTTGCTCAACATTTACATAATGAAGCGAACTAGATTTGTTGACTGTTTGCCATAGATGGATAATATTTCGATACTTTAAGGTTATGTGGAAAGA